GACGCCAGTACCTCCCCCCACAAAATGCTTTACTTCGTCAGCCAGGACAGTCGGCTAACAGTCTGAGGACCCCCATCCTGGGCTGGGCTTGCTCCCAGTCGAGGCTCCCCAGGAGCTGAGACCAGGGGCCTCTCTTCAAGCCTTGCAGGCACAGGTAGCCCCAGAAGTCTTTCTGCCACAAAGCCTGCACCCAGGGGTCAGCAATCTGGGGGATGAACCAGACATTCCCACTGCAAAGTGTGCATCAGAATCTCCAGGACCCCCTAGTCCTCCCCCAGCTCATGCCTCCCTCCCCTTCCGGGCTCCCAAATGGGCCCCAGAGGGGTGGCATTTTAGCTCCTTTCCTCTGCTGGCAGGGACCCTGCTCCCAGGGCCACGCCACCCCCTCTCCACCCCAAGGCAGACGGGTGCACGCAGCTCCGATCCAGCCATACCCTCGGCGTCCCCTGTGAGCATGCCTGTGACAGTGTTTGCCTCCCTCCCAGCTCACTGGCTGGCCTACCCGCTTCTCAAGCGCCCCACACTAGATAAAAACGCGGGAGTGCCCAGCCCTGCCCCAGGCACCGAGTCAGAAGACGTGGTATATATACGCAATGGAATATTACTCAGCCATCAAAAAGAATGAAGGACGCCCGGGTGGCTGAGTCAGTTAAGTGTCTGACTCTTGGTTTCGGCTCAAGTCGTGATCTCACCATCCGTGAGTTCGAGCCCCACATCGGGCTCTGCGCTGACAGCGTGGAGCCCGTTTGGGATTCTCTCTCTCCTTCTTTCTCTACCCCTCCCTGGCTTGTGCTCTCTCTCTCTCTCTCTCTCAAAATAAATAAATAAACTTAAAAAAAAAAAGAATGAAGTCTTGCCATTTGCAATGACATGGATGGAGCTACAAGGCAATATGCTAAGTGAAATAAGTCAACCAGAGAAAGACAAATATCATGGGATTTTACTCACAAGTGGAATTTAAGAAACCAAACAGATGGACATATGGGAAGGGGGGCGGTGGAGAAGAAAGGGAAACAGACCACAAGAGACTCTTAACGATAGAGAACACACAGGGGAGGGGAGCAGGGGGGGTGGGTGGGCTAGATGGGGGATGGGCATTGAGGAGGGCACTTGTTGGGATGAGCACTGGGGGATGAATGCAAGTGATGAATCACTGAATTCTACTTCTGAAACCAACACTGCCCTGTGTATTAACTAACTAAAATTCTAATTAAAAAAATAATCAAGGGGCGCCAGGGTGGCTCCGTCAGTTAAGCATTTGACTCGAATCAAGCCATGATCTCATGGTTCGTGGGTTCAAATTGACCGCACAGAGCCCGCTTGGGACGCTTCCTCTACCTCTCTCTCTTCCCCTCCCCCTCCAAATAGAGTAAATAAACTTTAAAATAAATAAACAAACCGTGACTCTGCCCCCCCCCCAAAAAAAAAGTCTCCGGGTGAAGCCAGGGGATCAGTTTCTTGGTCTCTTGAACCAGTCACTAAGGAAGTGATGTACAGCCACATCTGGGGACAGAAGTCTGGCAGGACCCACACCCAGGGGTACCCGAGATGGCTTTACGCAGGACATGGTCCAAAAGCAACCTGACCAGGGAAGGGGCGATTGGCTCAGATATCACTACCAAACCCAGAAGCTGAACCTGCGCCGGGTGATGAAGGTCATGTTAGGTCACCTGGATGTCACGTGGATGTGAGGTACCCCCTGGCACGGTGGGGTGGAGGAGGCACCTCACTCCCGTGTCATTCTCCCCCAAAACCATGACCTCCGTCTCATGGCCAAGAACATCAGACAAATCCAGACGGAGGGACGTTCTACTAAATCCTCCATCAGTACTCAAAATCAGCAGGGTCGTGAAAAACCAGGAACGCCCGAGAAACTGTCCCAGCCAGGAGATGCTCAGGCAGACATGATGATTCAATGTAACTCTGGATGGGATCCCGGATCAAGACAATACTGGAAAAACTAGCGAAAACTAAGGTCTACAGTTTAATTAATAGTAACAGCCCAACGGGGCGCCTGGGTGGCTCGGTCGGTTAAGCATCCTACTCTTGGTTGTGACTCAAGTCACTATCTCATGGTTCGGGAGTTCAAGCCCCGCATGGGGCTCTGCAGTGACACCACAGAGCCTGCCTGGTATTCTCTTTCTCTGCCCCTCCCCTGCTCTCTCTCTCTCTCAAAAATAAATAAATAAACATTAAAAAAAAAATAGAGCAGGGTGCACCTGGGTGGCTCAGTTGGTTAAGTGTCCGACTTCAGCTCAGGTTATGATCTCAAAGTTTGTGGGTTCGAGCCCCGCATTGGGCTCTGTGCTGACAGCTCGGAGCCTGGAACCTGCTTCAGATTCTGTGTCTCCCTCTCTCTGCCCCTCCCCTATTCATTCTCTCTGTCTCTCAAAAACAAATAAAAACATTAAAAAGAGAGCAGAAGGGATAAGGGGAGACGGGGTAAAGCAGGAAGCCTACATGGGAGGGAACGCCGGCCATAGGTAAAGAACCCAGTGGAAAACCTTTGGAAACCCTGTAGTTTTATAAGAGGAAATGTTGTCCCTGGGGGAGAGTGGCAGAAGGCTGCTGTCAGCCTGAGCCACCTCCCCTGGAGGAGAGAATGACCCAACACTGGCATCTCCCACCACTGAGTCTGAGCAACCCAGTGGGAAGTACAGGGATGGGGGTTCCCAGGTGGCTCATGCAAGCCCTCCCCGCCCAGACCCTAACAGCACCAGCGTATGTCCCCAAGTGGCACCTCTGGGCCCCTTGAATGGTCAGAAAGATCTGAGCTGCCTCTTGTCCACACCCTCACCCCAGCCTGTAAGGCCCTGCTCTCTGACCACATCCTCCTGCCCATCCCCTTCTGACCAGCCCTTTCGACTTTCTCTGTCCCCGAAAAGGCAAATGGTCCCACACCCCATAAACTTTGCCCTTGCTGTTCCCCACATGAAACTCTTCTCCCAAATTCTCCCAGGGTTTACTCATCACAAAGATTTGAGCTCACGCTTTGTAAGTGGTTGAGCCAGCATGGGCAGGCTGCAGATCTTTTCCCCTAAGCCAATGCACTAAATATAAAAGCCACCAGCCCTGGGAATGGCTCTTCCTAGAAAGAGGGCTTCTTCTGGGGGACATGCTCAGGCCAAACTGATCTCTCAGTTTCTTAATTAGAACATGATGCATCTGACCCCAGGGCCTTTGCACGTGCTGCAACCGCTCCCCTCTCTTCTTCTTTGCCATTTCTGCCCAGCAGAAGAGGGGCACCTGGGTGGCTTGGTCAGTTAAGCATCCGACTCTTGATTGTGACTCAAGTCAGGATCTCATGGCTCGGGAGTTCAAGTCCCACATCGGGCTCTGCGTTGATGGAACAGAGCCTGCCACAGCGCTACTTTGGAGAGGCCTTTCCTATTTTCCCCGGTTAGAACAACTCTGATTTACACATTCTCCTAGTTCCTAATATATTTCATTCTTTGTAACTTTCACAGTTTGTCATTATACATTTACTTCAGTGATTTAAAAAGTGTGTATGTATTTTTTTTTCTAGTTTCTGAAAGGTCATCCCTTCACAGGGTGAAACAATAAATTCAAAGAGCATAAAAGACAAGTATGTGACTATTGTCCTCCTGCTGTTTCCCTCTTGAGAAAAGGGATCCTTGAGAAGAGGGATCCTGTTTATTTTGGGCTTATTCCCATCTGCCTAATGGTCACCAGGAGGACTGGCCCACTCAGTCTGTTGGGTAACAAATGATGGAGGGAGTGATACAGGGGTTCAAGTGGGAGCGACGGGTATGGGCCTCTGGTTGCTGCTGTAACAAATTACTAGAAACTCGGCATCTGTGACCACACAACTGTGGCAGTCAGACGGCTGACACGGATCTCAGTGAGCTAAAACCAAGGTGTTGGCAAGGTTGTATTTTCTTCAATATTTATTTTTGAGAGAGAGAGAGAGAGAGAGAGAGATCGAGAGTTTGAGAGAGAGAAAAAGAGAGAGAGCGCACTAGTAGGGGGAGGGGAGGGGGGGCAGAGGATCTGAAGCAGGCTCTGTGCTCACAGCAGGGCCCGATGTGGGGCTTGAATCCATGAACCATGAGACATGACCTGAGCCAGAGTTGGATGCTTAACCAATTGAACCACCCAGGCATCCCAGCTTGTATTTCTTCCTGGGAGCTGTAGGCAGGAGTCCAGCTCCTTGTCTTTTCCAGCTTCTAGAAGCTGTTCTCATCCCTGGTGTCCTCTCTCTTCAAAGCCAGCAACCTTAGGTCAAGTTCTCACATTGCATCTCTGGCCCTCTGCCCTGATGTCTCCCCTCTCTTCTACTTTTAAGAACCTTGTGATTATATTGGGCCATCTGGATAACCTTGAAAATCTCCCTACTGTAAGGTCAGCTGATTAGCAACCTTAATATCATCTGCAACCTTCACTCCCCCAGGCCACGTGACCTGCCACGGCCACGGGTTCCAGAAATGAGGAGGTGGAGATCGCTGGGCACCCATCGCTCTGCCCATGACAAGAGGGGTTTTCCTGAATGTCAAAGATTCTCTGAATGGTTCTAAATTGAGTAGTAGCTTCTGACGACGTCTTTGGGCCTTCACCAAAGACACAGTGACCCCAACCACTAAATATGGCACAAATGTGGTTGCTGATTGTGAGAGTTTAGGGCAGTAGTTTAACATAGGCCCAGATTTCCTCCCTCACAGAGATGCCCTCTCCCTTCACAGGGCTGTTAGGCAATTAGATGCAAATCCGTCTGTGAAATATTTGCTTCAGGGCCTGGCACGCAGTAAGCGAGCACAAAATGCTCGTTTTAGAAAGGCGGATGGTGCAGAACAAGATGGAACCAGGCATCACTGATGGGTTGGCTGTGCCGGCCTCAGCATGAGGCCATCCACCGAGCAAACGCTGAGTTTGCTCTGGGCCAGCTCCCTCGAACGCATCAAAGAGCCCTGCCCTCAAGGACCTTTTTCTTCAGTAGGTTGGACCTCAACTGTAGAAAAACAGGAAAGACGAGTTCCACTTACGTGCACAGAATGGACTGGTCCTCTCGATCTGAGAACAGAAAGGAAAAAGGCCGTGAATTAGAATCAGCTCCTAGCTAATGGCCCTCCTCAGCGCCCCCCCACCCCGCCCCCGTCCTAAACTCCTGCTCACTGGCCCCACCAAAGGTGGCAAGGGGCCAACTGGGCTCGCAGCAAAGCCCTTTTAGATACTCTTCCCTACCCCTGAGAGTCCTGGAGGCGGCCCCAGAAGGCTGCTGGAGTCTGACTAGTTCAGAAGGCAGTGGGCATCCCAGCCCCACCAGCTGTGGGGGATGTCCAGGAGCTCACTCTGCCAGAAAGAACAGGCTGGGGTCCCACTCGGCCACTTTCCAAGTCTGTGGCATTGGGTGAATGGTCTTAACCCCTCCGTGCCTCAGTTCCTGCACCTGGAATGTAGGGAAGTGGACAGTTTGGGTTTGAAAACCTAGCATTTTCCTTTTCTGGGAAGACCATCCTGTGTGCCTCTAGGAGACGTGCCCCCGGCCCCACCCCTGGCATCATATACCCCATGTTGGTGGGGCTGCCCCACTTGGTCCCCCAGCCAAGTGGATGGGGACGCACAGCAGGTGGACAGAGCCCCGAGGGGCCTTACTTCCTGCCCCCAGATCCCAAGGAGCCCATCCCCGCCATTTCTGAGGCCGGATCCCCAGTCTTCCCACCCCATCTGTGAGCCCCCTGATAATCCTGCATTCATTCCTTTCCTAGATAAGGTGCCAAGCCGGTCTCTGTTGCTGACCACCAGAGAACCCAGGCAGGGGACACAGGGCATCGTGAGATTAAACACGATCAAGCAAACGTTACACATCACCTTCTACTCTTAAAGGGGCCTCAGAGGATGGAGCCAGGCTCCGGAACCCACTTCCTCTCCTACGAGGGATACTGGGAGAGTTACGGACACCTTCAATCCTTGGCGAATTAACCGTAACTGAGAAATCAGAGCATCCTGTCTGCTGACGGGCAACACCAGAGTGGAAGGCATTTCTGAAATCCACTCTATGGATCCCCCTCTCCATCTGCACCTCGCCAAAGATCTCCCTAGATCTTGTCCCATCCCCCTCCAAGCCCCTCTCACAGCGATCTTCCTGATGCACCGAGCTGCCGATCACTCTGCGACTTCCACTTTAGAAGTTTGTCAAAGAGTCCAACATAAATTTACCATGTGATCGGCTCTCCAGTTGTTGGCATATACCCAAGAGAACTAAAAGCCTGTATCTCTGCAAGACGGACCCCTGAACATTCACAGCAGCATTATCGTAAGAGCTAAAAAGTGGAAGGGACCCAAATGCTCATCACCTGGTGAATGGATAAACAACAGGTGGTCTATTCATACAAGGGAATATCATTCAGCCATAAAGACAGTGACGTACTTGTCACACAAGCTACAACACGGATGACCCTTGAAAATACTGTGCTAAGTCAGACACAAGAGGCCACATATTGTAGGACTACGTCTACACAAAATGTCCAGAGTAGGCAAATCCATAAAGTCAAAAAGCAGATCAGCAGTTGCCCGGGGCTGGGGGTGGGGTGACTGCAAATCGGCATTTGGGGTTCTGAAACCGGATTAGGGTGATGCTTACATAATACCATCGGTTTACTAAAAACCTCTGAAAAGTTTACTCTTAAAATGGGTGAATTTTTGGTACGCAAATATTATCTCAATAAAGCCGTCTTTAAAACGCCAGTGCCCTGGGGCACCTGGGTGGCTCAATTGGTTAAGCGTCTGACTTCGGCTCAGGTCATGATCTCACACTCTGTGGGTTCGAGTCCCGCATCGGGCTCTGTGCTGACCGCTCAGAGCCTGGAGCCTGCTTTGGATTCTGTGTCTCCCTCTCTCTCTGCCCCTCCCCCTCTTGTGCTCTCTCTCTTTCTCTGTCTCTCAAAAATAAATAAACATTAGGGGCGCCTGGGTGGCTCAGTCGGTTAAGCCTCTGACTTCAGCTCAGGTCATGATCTCATGGTCCGTGAGTTCGAGCCCCACGTCAGGCTCTGTGCTGACCGCTCAGAGCCTGGACCCTGCTTTGGATTCTGTGCCTCCCTCTCTCTCTGCCCCCCTACTGCTCATGCACTGTCTCTTTCTCAAAAACAAATATTAAAAAAAAAAAAATAAGCCAGTGCCCTTAGAGAAGACCCGTACTCCAGAGCAGGGCACCCAGCCTGGCCCACCTCCCACCCTCGGCGCCCATGCGTCCTTTACTTCAATGTGCAGTGACCCCATGAAGCGTATTCTTGCTTTTGTTCAGATCGCTCCTGCTGCACAGGCCTTCCCTTCTTTGTTTCCTGACCACCTCCTGATCCCTCAGCCTCAAAGATGACACCTCTTCCAAGAAGCCTTCCCCATGGAGAGGGAGCCAGGGGATGGCTTGGCTGTAAATCTCCTTCAACAATGTCAACCTTGCACAGATAGGTAACCTTGCTAGAGACACTAAGCCCCAAGAAAAGCCTCCGGCCCCCTCCAAGCTCCTCCCAGGCAGACCTTCAGGAGCTGTCACTGGTTCCTGCCCTTCCCTAAGACAGATATGACATTTCATGCCCCTGGTCCCATGGTAGTTGTGCTCCCCAGGCACTCGGTCCCAGGTGGGCTTTTTTCCATTGCTTGTGTCTGTGCCCCCACAGGACCATGAGATCCTCAGGCAGAAGCACCCAGTTCTGGAACTCTCTTCCTTCAGTTTCTAGACCTCTCAGCTCCCCAGCCCTGAGCTCCAGATACAGAAAGTTTAGCTTGTTAAAGCTACCCCCCAACCTAGAGGAAGGGCACTTCTTGATGGGGAAGCTCAATCTAGGTGCGAAAAATTGACTTGTTTGTTCATTCATTCAACAAATACTTTCAGGGTATCTACCATGTATCAGACATGATGGTGAGCCCTAAAAATATCCCACAGTAGCAGGTAATACATAGCACTTCCTCTGTGCCAGGCCTCGTTTGAAGCACTGACCTATTTTAACACATTCAGCCCTCGCACACCCTAGAGATAGGTTATCTTATTCCCATTACACAGATGAAGAAACTGAGGCACACAGAAATCTTAAAAGTTGCCCACAGTTACACAGCAGTGGATGAGGCAGGATCTGAACCCAGCACCTACTATTTATTGGGACAGACACAGGCAGGCACTTCCTATGTGTGACCTTTGATCCCGACCCTTTCCAGGTTGAGGTAACAGAGGTTGGGTGGCCCAAAGTGACACGGCCACTTCGGTGACCGACTAGGGTTTTGAAGCACTGTGGGTCAGAGTGTGGGCTCTTTCGGCTTCCTGCAGTACAGGAGATAGAGCGTGGGTCCTGAGGGGCTCAGGCTGCAGGGGATCCGGGAAGGTGCTGGAGGACAAGGCAGCTTGGGGAGACCAGCACGGACCCAGCCACGTGAAGGAGTGAGGGCTATTCCCAGGCCAGGAAAAAGCTATGCTCAAGTCTAGGTGGGAGAAGGAACCCAGGCATGAAAGGGTCTCTGCATTGGAAGGGTCCACTTCCCAAGAATTGGATCCTAAATCTGTAAACCTGTCCTACCACCACTGTCGTGGTCGGTCTAAGAACTATCTCATGCGGCCCACATTGTCTATCTCCCTATACTGGAAACAAGTTTTACTGTGGAAGTGGGGGCTTGTATGTTTTGTTTAACATTGTATCTCCAGTACCTGGATGGATGGATGGATGCATGCATGCATGCATGGATGCATGGATGGA